TAAATTGCAATTTTATGGTCATTAGATCACGTTTAGCACCTTAAAAACGTTATAAAATGATATGAGTGTAAATTGACTTATCATGAAACTTGCTGTTAAGTACATTATTTGATTATTTGTGTTTGTATTATAGTTTTTACGATACTTAACATTTTAGCTAGTTTTACGACATAATTTGCTCACATCTGCGACATAACTCACTTAAAAACTGAATTATTATTAAAAAAATTCATACAAACACATGTAATGTTCTTACAATTGAGTGTAATAATAGCTTAATTTACCCTAATTTTTAGATTAAATAAGCTAAGCGTAATTTGTTAAGCATAAATTTGATATTTTATGTACTTACTTGTAAGACGGAAACAACAAACACCTGTATAGCGTTCTTTTAATACGTTCCCTTTGAAACAAATTGATATTTGATATATTCATAATAGCGCACATAAATTTCCTATCAAATAAAACTAAGGGACTCATATTATTATATTTAAAATCAGAATATCAATATGATTTAGAAATAATATTGATTTTCATAAGATGTCAAAAAAGTATTGATTTTTATAATAAATATTTTATTTAAAATTATTATATTGCATTATATTAAAATATATTAGTAATAATAATTTTCATTATAAATAAAATTTGGATAATTTTCATATCTTACCAATGATTGTTAATGGAGACTTTAACAGCCAAGGTGGAGAAAAACTTACAACATTTTTTAGGATTTGTTTATTTTGACCACAAAAAGTCCGACAGAACTAAAGCTATTACTTAAAGTGGTCCAACTATATTATAACTGTATAACAATTTTTCTGAAATAATTTCTGAAAGTTTTAGTATATAATCCGCTTCATTCGAAAATCATTTATATATTTAATCATTAAACAATTTAGTGTGAGTATTGATTTCAAGATCATAACTTTTTTTAAATTAAAAACCATGGTTGGAAATTCGACTGTTTAGACTCTTAAACCACTGTTAATTAAATTGACATTCAGACACATCGTCATTATAATCTTATGATTTCGGATTAATTGATAAAATGATTTTCATTAAAAACAATATGATAACTAATTGTTTTACTTTTTATCACCGATAATAATAAATTTAGTATTGTAATAATGTTATTATCACAGAAGTAAAAATATTAATTTGGTTGTATTATTTAATTGGATTGTATTATTTTTAATGTAAATTTTATGGCATAGTATTGTGTTCTGTGTTAATTAAAATTCAATCAAAATAATAATTCTTAATATGACTCATAATTTAAGTGATAAAATGTATTAACTGATAAGTTTGAAACTTATAAAGTCATACTCTACGGACCACATAAATAAAAAAAATTAGTGCTTAGTTTTTTTTTCGTATATCATAAAAATGATTAGGCATATTGTTCTGTAGACTTTTCCGAATATAGACAAGTCCATTTTTGAAAATTATTCAGAAAATATATAAAACTATCTATAAAATTGGTAAATAAACCAAAAATTATAAAATTATAATGTTATTATTTTTGTAAGGATAAGATACATCACTCAAATCCAATGCCTATAGCTTACATTTTAYATTCATGATAATATTTATAAAAAACTATGGTAATTATATTTTTAATGGTTGCAACCACCTGCAGTTACTTCCGTCATCCAATTTTGTTTTTAGACTTAACTGATCATTGTAGCCAACAAAAATTTTACTGTATCCAAGAAGTTCTCTATTATAATTATGTGTTATTAAATAATAATCATATTATTTTTGACGGTTGATTGATTTTTCAATTTGAAAAACTTTCAATTTCCATATTTAATATGTTTAATGTTATCTAGTTATTTTTTAATTAAATAGTTAACTATAAATTATTTTATGGGCATAATATAAATCACCTATTATAGATTATTAAACAAGCTCTACCTTATTACTTATGCAATTAACACCTACAAAATGTCAAAATAAGTGTACGCACTATTATATTTTATCATATAAATCCATTATTACTTGTAATATATTATTATATAACAATATATTATTATTTTTATAGTACTAAGTCTTTACATCTGGTTATTGCAATGAATAGAATACCAACATTTTAATAAAAGTGTTGGTAACAATAGCCAGTTACGACGTACCTGGTTATTGCACCCGACAGAAATTTAAAAATCAGTTTCATCATTTTAATTTCAATACTATTCATCGGACGTTTATGGGTTTTGAACGGATTTATAGAGATTTCTCCTGAATATTTCTATATCAAAACACGATTTTTGAAAAAATGTGGTCGTTAATGGTGATTGTACTGGGGTCTTCAATATTATTAATATAAATTAATGTTGTATTTGATAACAATACGGCGTTCTGGATAGGCATTTTAACTACATCTGAGTGCAATTTTTTGGTACCTCACTAACACACTCCTGCAAAATAAATACTTATCATTCTTTATCATTGGATTTTCTRTCTTAATGTTTAGTGATAACTCCTTCTACTGGTCAATAAACACAACAATCGGAATACGAAACACTGTTAGTGATATATCTTTAATACCACCGTAGAAGAGTATTATATTAACTTTATTATAAAGTGGTATAAAATGA